TTCTTTTCTCAAGGCTAAATACACTCGTTTCTTTCAGTTATTCCTCGTAGGGCTTGGTTTCCAGTTCCCTGATAATCCCGGTTGCCTTCCTCTGAACCTCTTCTAGTTTGTTGGCATCATTCTTAAAGTGCAAACTATACTTGTGTTAATGCAGCTTGAAACAGCATTTTTCTTTTTTGCAGCCACAAGACTCTGTCGGTTCATATTCAGTTTGTGATCTACAACAATTCCAAGATCCTTCTCATTTGCAGTATTACCAAGCCAACTATCCCCCATCTTGTCACTGTGCATTTGATTTTTTTCTTCTTCTAGGTGTAGTTTTCTCAGTCTGTGTTCAGCCCCATGTTCAAGCCTATCAAGATCTTTTTGAATTTTGTTCCTGTCTTCCAAGGTACTAGCTATTTCACCCAATTCTGTGTCATTCCCAAATTTGATAAGTATTCCCTCCACCCCCTCATCCATGTCATTAATTAAAATGTTGAAGAGCACTGGGGCCAGGACTGAGCCTTGGGGTACTTCATTTTTACCTCCTCTCAGTTTCCAAAGGAGCCATTGATAAGCATTCTCTGAGTATGATTCTGTAATCATTGTGTACAGTATTCACCTTACAGTTGTTCTGTCCAGCCCACACCTAGTTAGCTTGCCAATCAGAATATCATGGGGCACTTTGTCAAAGGCTTTGCTGAAGTCAAGATATATTATGTCTACAGCATTCCCACCATCTACCAGGGAGGTTACCTGATGAAAAAATGAGATAAGATTAGTCTGGAAGGATTTGTTCTTGACAAATTGAATGTTGAAGAGCACTGGGGCCAGGACTGAGCCTTGGGGTACTTCATTTTTACCTCCTCAGTTTCAGAAGGAGCCATTGATAAGCATTCTCTGAGTATGATTCTGTAATCATTGTGTACAGTATTCACCTTACAGTTGTTCTGTCCAGCCCACACCTAGTTAGCTTGCCAATCAGAATATCATGGGGCACTTTGTCAAAGGCTTTGCTGAAGTCAAGATATATTATGTCTACAGCATTCCCACCATCTACCAGGGAGGTTACCTGATGAAAAAATGAGATAAGATTAGTCTGGAAGGATTTGTTCTTGACAAATTGATGTTGGCTTCTGGTTGTTACTGCATTGTTTTCAGGGTGCTTGCAGAGTGACTGCTTTATAATCTGCTCCAGAGTTTTCTATGGGATTCATGTCTGGCTGACTGATCTGAAGTTCCCTGGTTCCTCTTTTTTGTGTCCTTTCGTAAGATAGGGACAATGTTAGTCCTTCTCTAGACCTCTGTCACTTCACCCATCCTCCATGATTTCAAGAAAATAATCGACTAGAGTTCTGAGATCTCTTCAGCCTGTTTCTTCAATATCCATGGATGTAATTCATCTGGCCCTGAGGCTTTGAACTCATTCAAAGTAATAAGATAGTCTTTATTTGTTTTTCAGTCTCAAGCTGCAATCCTATCCCCTCCCTTTGTATTTTATATTTGACTGGAGGGTCATATGCTATCTTTTGGGACAAGACCAAGCTAAAGTAGGGATTGAGCACTTCTGCTGCCTTTTTTTTCACCTCTTATCATTTTCCACTGAGTAGCTGAACCACTGTTTCTTTTTGCTATGCACATACCTGAAAAATGCTCTTTTTTGTTGCTCTTAGCATCTCTTGCTAAGCTCAGCACATTCTCAGCTTTTGCCTTCCTAATGCCATCCCTGCAATTCTTTGTTACTTGTCTGTACTCTTCCTTTGTAGTCTGGCCTTTCTTCTACTTCCTATGCGTGTCCTTCTTTGTTTTCAGGTCCTCTCTGAGTTTTTTGTTGTGAAGCCACATTAGTCTTTTTTTTTTTCTTGTTGGAATTGTTTGTAGCTGTGCTTTTAGAATTTCCCTTTTTAAAAACTCCCACCCATCTCTGACTCCTTTTCTTGTTAGGACCTCCTGCCATGGGACCTTACCTATCATTGTTCTGAATTTATTAACATTGGCTTTCCCCTAAAATCCAGTACATACCTGTGAATCCACTCTGCTTTGAAATCAAAAACTAAGGTAAAACATGGTTACTTTCCCCCACAATTCCTCTTACTAGCACTTCTTCCACGAAGTCATCTCTATTAGTTATAACCAATTCACGGATAGGAAGTATCCACTTCCTGGGACACAGAAGTACAAAGGTGAGGATACAGATAATAGACAAAGTCACAATGGTTCGTTAACACAGGAATGGGATGATTAAACTGTTAAATACTTCATTTAACAGGTCCTGGCCAGGGCAATAGCTGTAGGTCAGAGGAACTTGATTGGCATAGGTATAAGAAATGTTTCTGGGACAAAGGTTGGAGTCTATCAGAGAACTTTTGTGTTATGTTATGTTATGTAGTGTCAAATCGATACTGTTTTATAGCAACCTTAATAGGGCTTTCAAGGTAAACAAGATATAAAGAATGGTTTAACCAGTTCCACAGTTCCAGTGAGCATCCATGGCAAGCTAGGGATTGGAACCCAGGCCCCATGAATATCAATATGAATTCCTTTCCTGATCCTTTCCCCTTTTCCTTTCCAGAACATTGTTTCCAAGGGAGACAACTTTTTGTACTGTACCTAGGTAGCTCTGGGGACGTGGTGGCACTGCGAGCTAAACCACAGAAACCTTTGTGTGCTGCAGGGTCAAAAGACCAACCCTCGTAAGATCGAATCCACGTACGGAGTGAGCTCCTGTTGCTTTGTCCCAGCTCCTCACCAACCTAGCAGTTCGAAAGCATGTAAATGCGAGTAGATAAATAGGTACCACCTCGGTGGGAAGATAAAATGGCGTTCCCTAGTCACGCTGGCCACGTTGCAACGGAAACTGTCTTCGGACAAGCGCTGGCTCTACGGCTTGAAAACGGGATGAGCACCGCCCCCTAGAGTCGGACGGGACTGGACTAAAAATGTCAAGGGGAACCTTTACCTTTAGCTCCTGGAACCATGACCAAATCATGGTTAGAAAACAGCAGGTCTTTTTCAAATGAATCTTTAGCTAATAAGTAACGAGTCTTTTGATCTTAGCACCTCTGAACCTTGAAACCAATAGAGATATAAAATGCTTGTTGATAGAAGATAAATGAGTCATGCTCCTGACAACCAACATATCTTTGTCCTCCTGCTGCCTTTCCCTTGCTTCTGAACATCTTTCACTGATGATACCTACAATTCTCTTCGTTAAAATGTCAACATTCTGCAAGACTTCAGTAGGTGTACATTGCACACTTTTTTGCTAAAATCATGTACCGGTAGCTATCAGTCAATAATAAAAGTTGATTTTTTAAAAAAATTTGGTCTCCTATACACTCTTGATTATCTCCATCCTCATCATGGCTCTCCCCCCCTTCTCCCAGCTCCTCCTCTTGTTCTATGGCTTTTCTCAGGGTCTGCACTGAACTTCTGCCTTGTCTATCTGAACGGAGATTTTACATGTTTTTCACTTTTGCAGTCACCTCCCAGTCCCAGCTATGCCATAAATGTTCCCTTTGATAAAGGGTGCTTATGATGACTGGCTCACCTCCTTATGAAAACCTTTCTGCTTTCTTGGAGCATCATAGAAAAAAAAAAAAGAAGATGATCAGTCCCAGCCAAGGAGACTGAATTGGCTCAAGAAACTACACAGGCTTAGCTTCCAAGTAAAAACGTTAATAAAACAATGAAAGATCAAGCTTTTGACAAGGAAAACAAGTCCTGTCACCATCAGAATTACAAACGGCATACTAATTATATTACATACGAGGGTATATATACTCAATGTGATTACAACACAAAACATTCCAGGTACTGCTTAATGAACTTTTTGCTGTTCTGATGAGATCAATTATAAGAAGGCATGAGTCAATAAATCTTTGCCCTTCTTCCCGGTTAACCACATTGTATTTTTCACACATATTTCTAAAGATTCCCTTATCAATCTCAAATTTCAAGAGTGTGACCGAAACAGCTTTTTTGTTTCATTAAATTAGATACTGTGCCCGGTTTCCCAGCCGTGTTTTACTAAGGCTCCTTATATTTGTGAGATGGAGGGTTGCAAACAGCAGATAGGAGAGTCTCCTTCAATGGTACTTCAGCAATGGTTATCATCCTAGCTGGGAGAAACCACAATGGACATGAGCTACACTCTTGGCACTTGTTTTTCACTCCTTGGGTTTGTGTGTATGTGAATGTGTAGGAAGATGGGAGGAAGGGTTGAGACGTTAATTCCCCATCTTTCTCCTTGAAGGGTCTCAAGGATAGGCTTCCTTGGAGTTCAAGCCATTGCAGCATTACTTGGTAAAGGTAAAGGTTCCCCTTGACAATTTTTGTCCGGTCGTGTTCGACTCTAGGGGGTGGTGCTCATCCCTGTTTCCAAGCCATAGAGCCAGCGTTTGTCCGAAGACAATCTTCCGTGGTCACATGGCCAGTGCGACTTAGACACGGAACGCTGTTACCTTCCCGCTGAGGTGGTCCCTATTAATCTACTCGCATTTGTATGCTTTCGAACCACTAGGTTGGGGAGGAGCTGGGACAAGCGACGGGCGCTCACTCCGTCGTGTGGATTCGATCTTACGACTGCTTGGTCTTCTGACCCTGCAGCACAGGCTTCTGCGGTTTAGCCCGCAGCGCCACCACGTCCCGCAGCATACTTGACAAGTTGTAAAATCAGTTCATTCCTATATTTTAATGACCCGGGGACCTCCTGGCCTGCTTGGCCTTCAAACAACACTTTCCACAAATGTTTGTGTCCCCACTCTCTTGCAAGACTGCTACACAAGGGATCAATCAGACTAAAGTGTTTGGAGGTGGTGAAGCATTCTGGAAGATTTTCAAGATTTGGACAAAAAAGCCTTACTGAGGAGTTCAAGTGTCCCTTAAAGGCACTTTAAAATGAAAGGAGTCTTGTCTTTTCAAAGGTCTGCAGATCAGAACTGCCTGTTCTGTTCTGTTATATTTTCCCTAAAAAAGGAGCAGAGTGAATGGTTTCTCTGTATTTCTCATCCCTGCAGCTGCTATTGCTCCCAAGGACCAGGTCTTCTATGGCTTTTTGAAGCCCTGGCTGGGTAAGACAACTCTCTTTTAATATGTATATAACAAAGTTGTACTTTAAATACCAGGCATTCTTTGGATGGTTAACAATATAAGTTTTAGAACCATACAAATTTAAACAAAAAATGTAAAAGTGGCGAATAAAGTTGCTCAGTCTCTTGTTCTCATTGTCCATATTAGGAATGGGCATTTGCATGAGCAATTTTTCTTCGTTTCCTGAAGTAGGCATCTCACACTTGGTTCTGCAACTGGTTGTGTGGTGGACTCTCCGGAAAATGGAGAAAAACACTTCTGTAGTTCTCATCTATTGACAGAAATCGAACAAGATACAGTACTAGCCTGAGAAAAATGAAATAATTGTCACAAAAAACATAAATGCAGCAGAGCTAAAAGCACTGGAAGGTCTTTAGAGTGCCTGGGGGAAAGAGAAATCTTTACTTGGTACCAGAAATACCCTCAGATGGTCAACAGGCCAATGTCTCTGATCTTCTGTTGCTGACAATGGAATGGTCTTTGATAGAGGCCAGCTGCTGTAAAAACTGGAAATGGGGCAAAGAAACAGTTACGAATCAATAATGCTTAACAGCAGAAAAGTGGGATGTTACGTGAATGGACCGGGACTTACATAGGTTGATGATTCCACTGTGATTCAACCTGGAATCTTCTCCCTTTCAAATAACAATAAACTGATTTGACCTGAAGGAGGTTACAAGTGGTTCAAAGGGTGGTGTAATCTCCTTCTTTGAAGGTTTTTAAGCAGAGGCTGGATGACCATCTGTTGGGAGTACTTTGACGGATGCTCCCGCATGGTGGGAGACAGAATGGCCTCAGTGGTCTCTTCCAACTCTATGACTCTAGGAGGAGGGAAAGAGGGAGAGAAGAAGAAGAAGAAGAAGAAGCTCCAGACTCCACCCAGATTCTGCAGTATATCTTAGTGTCTAAAGTATACAGTAACACTAGACCTGTTTAAGTGTTAAGCCTGAAACCATGGAGAGCTGTAATCATGGTGGGGGAGATGTGCATGCACACAAGCCATGTCCCTTACATTCCCACACCATCTGACATAAGGCAGACATTTGGGGATTTACCACAATGGTCTGCAGAGATACTTATAAGCACATAATGTTGGTAGACAAACAAAATAAGTGCTGTGCATGGTGGGCATTTTTGTTCTAGCTACATTGGTTAGTAATGTCTTGGACATAAATTCTATGCGAAGATTAACTAGCTGCAACCATTTCTTCTTGTCGCAGGAGATGGACTTCTTGTGAGCGGTGGGAAGAAGTGGGCACGACATCGACGCATGCTTACTCCTGCCTTTCATTTTGATATTCTGAAGCCTTACATTAAAATCTTCCAACAGAGCACAGATATCATGCATGTGAGTTCCTTCTCAATGCCATGCTATCTGCAAAGGTGTCCCCATTTCATTCCACATGATATTGTAGGGTTGGGTGAGCTAAATGTGCCCGTGCATCCTCCATGTAAGTGAACGTAATATTATGTAATATGTATTTCTGAGACTTAGGTTGTGGATATGCTCTCAACCTCCATCCCCACCCATCAATTATCTCATGGCAGCATTTTTTACATCTGAAAAAAATGTTCCATCTTTCAGATTATGAGTTCACAACCTTTGTAATTGCTGCAGCTTCAAAACCTGGCCAGGAAGCTGCCTTATACTGGGCTGAACTGCTGCTCAGTATTGTCAACTCTGAGTAGCACCAATAACACAACAGGATTTCAAGCAGGACTATGCCCTAAACCAGTGATGGTGAACCTTTTTGAGCCTGAGTGCCCAAACTGCAACACAAGATCAACTTCTTTATTTCAAAGTGCCAGATAGATTTAGATTAGGCTTCAGTCTCAAGAGAGTATGGTAATGTACTCTGTATGGATGACTTGGAACAGCGTCTAGTGTGGCTGAGAAGGCCAATCTGAGACTGACAATCCCTTCCACACTGAAGACAAATACAAGCTGTCCCCTGTCCAGTTTCCTGGGGGGTAACAACAGCTGCAACATCAGCGAAGAGGAAGTCCCACATGCATTTCAGCTGGACTTTGGTCTTCGCTCTCAATCTAGAAAGATTAAAGAGCTTTCCATCTGATCTAGTCTGGAAATAGACACCTTCTGTTGCAGTTCCCAAAGTGTGCTTCAGCATGATAGCAAAAAAGATCCCAAACAGGGTTGGCGTGAGGACACAGCCATATTTCACTCCGCTTTGAATGTCAAAGGGATCTGATGTTGAGCCATCGAAAACTACAGTGCCCTTCATTTCCTCATGAAAGGACCTGGTGATGTTAAGGAGTTGAGGTGGCCATCCAATCTTGAGAAGTATTTAAAAAAGGTGGTCCCTGCTCACCAAATCAAAGGCCTTTGTGAGATCTGTGAAGGCCACAAAGAGTGGCTGTTGTTGTTTCCTACATTTTTCCTGCAACTGTTCCTGCACTGCAAGAATTAAATGATTGTGGGTTTTTTTTCTATGGGTGGTATTAACAAAGAAATACTTACCAATCACCCATTGGGCTAGACCGGCAATGGTTGCCATTGCACCCCTCCACTGGACCACTGCACCAGCAGAGGGGAGTGCCAAAATCCGGGATCGGAGGATCGGTATTTCTCGATGGCGACCTATGGCTCGCATGCCCACTGAGAGGGCTCTTTGTGCCAACTGTGGCATGTGTGCCATAGGTTTGCCATTGCTGCCCTAGACCAACCCTGGGCCCAACCATTCTTCGTTTCCCAAATTGGGTAGAATCAGGTGTGTTAAGAATACTGTCGGAGTGTGCACTTCCAAATGCAATCAGCATTTTGTGCAAATTTCTGTGCTGCATAGTATGTAGTCAGGGTGCACTGACATGCAATCAGCATTTTGTGCAAATTTCTGTGTATGTAGGCAGTCAGGATGCACTGACGTTATAGACAAACATACATCTTAAAAGATTCAAGGGTTGAAAAGAGACACACACAGAGAGAGAGAGGTTGAATGAATAGTAACAATATTAAGAGTCTCTTGGGCATAAGAGGACATAAACTGTACTTGCATAAGATCCCTTATAACAGGATAGATCAACAGATAACAAGCAACATCTTCCTTATTTATGAGGTATTTTGAATTGTGGCATGGTGAGGGAACGGACTAGCAATTTAAAATGGAGGAATCGCAGATAATTTACTTTTAAATGAATAGCAGATTACGAATTGCAGGGTAGGCGGTAGGCAATACTGAAATAACCCAAGTCTCATATTTTATCATACAAAGGTATATATTTTGGCCAAATTCAATTGCCAGTTCTACTTAGAGTAGAGCCAGTTGCTGAATATTGAATCAACACTTATGTAAATCCCATTGCTTTAGTGTGAGGAGTTCCAATTGGCTCCAGGTTTTCAGGAATTCAGTTCCTGTCAATAATTCAACATGTAGACAAAATAGGTGGCACTGTAAAGATTACATTGGATAAAGCTGAAAGGGGTCACTTTTCTGGGTGAAACCTTTAAAGCAACCCTTCTATCTAAATGCAATCTGATCCCAGTCACTCCAGCCCTCTCTGAAAACAGAATAGCCCTGCAGCTGGACCAAAAATGTCCAGACAGGACAGATCAAGATTAGGTTGGTTTGCGATCTTGCATGTATTGTCCGGTTGCTAACAAATAGCTAGAATCAGTCCATGTGGTAAGTGCTCCAAAAAGCAAGCTCAGTGATCATCTGTCCCCAGCATCTGTTGGCTATAACTAAGCTTCTTTGCTATTTAACCTATCCCAAACTACAGGTGCTAGATCTTCTGCTCTTTAAACACCAAGTGCCAAAAGGAGTCACATGCAAATACCCTATGGTTTGGAGAGATGGACTTGCTGGATATCATGATAATCTGTCATGATGAACTAAACCAGATTTTGGCTGAGATCATAAAATTAAGCTTGCATACCTATTACAATTTAAATTCAGAATTAGAAAAAAATAACAATACAAGAGAAATTCTACCTTCAGCTCTTCCTTACAAGCGTCTCTTTCCCTCTATTGTAGTGTGAACTAACGTAATCTTTTCCTCTCCTTTGCTCACACAAATATCAACCAGCTGATACCCCTTGAACTTTATGAGTACCCTACTACCACATTGTCTAGTTTTCACTCTGTTCCATTTGTTGAGTTCTAGCAACATTAATTCTAGCCTTATGTTGCTCATCCTCTCTCTCTTTTTTTTCCCCCTTTTCTTTTCAGGCCAAATGGCGCAGGCTTACCTCAGCGGGGCCTGCCTGCCTTGACATGTTTGAACAGATCAGCCTCATGACTCTGGACAGCTTGCAGAAATGTGTCTTCAGCTATAACAGCAACTGTCAAGAGTGAGTAAATCAGCAGAGGGAGTAAACCTAGGAGCAGGGTGCTTCCCAGATTCCTTACGGCCCAGCATCAGGGAGTCCCACAATGTCTTTATCTTTTGTTTCTTGGAGTAGGGTAGTTCCAGAACTGTAAATCCCAAAGAGAGTAAGGGAGTGAATAGATGCAATGTTGAAATGAAGTTTTCAGTGCTTATGCCCTTAACACTTTGTATTGGCCAAAATTATGATAATTCATATGGAGATGTTTAATTATTCCGAGAGGTTATATTACAAGTGTTTAAATAGCAAAGGGTCAGATTAGGTACAGTTCTTCTCATAGTATATCACACCCTCCTCTATCAATGTAACCATCCTCTTTCCTGCCAGCCGCCCTTTTTTGTTCAGTTTATGAAGTGACCTAGCAGTGAACTGAAACAACTGTTGCTCAGTTACGGCTGCATCACTCACCTGACTTGGAATGTGGTTACACATTCCAGGTTAATAAGAACCACTACTGAAATGATCTTAGCATAATTAAAAACAATTTAAAATAAGGTGATTACATGACTGTGACGTTTACCCACGTGGCCCCTGCTTAAATTTCACCAAACACAGAGCTCACGTGAGTATCCCAACACATCCTTTATCTCACTGCCACTAGTTGATCTCTGTCAACACCCTTTAATTAGAAAGACTGGGGTCCAAGCTGAGTATAACATTGAATAACACAGGTTTATTGATTACAGTTTGCTTAAACAGGTTCTTCACAGACTTTAATGTATTCATTAGATTGGTAATAACTTGTTAACTCTCTTCGTTCTCTATCAGTTCCACACTCTTAGCTGCCTCCTTTAACTCCTAACTCTGCCACCCTACCTAATTACCACAAACTAACTTCTACTTCAGACTCTCATCTCTGACTCTAACTGACTGAACTCCCTAAAACTGCTCCTTCTCTCTCTGACTCACCCCCTCCCTTCTGGTTTCTCTGACTCCGCCTCAGCTCCCATTGGTGTATGCAACTAATCGCCTACATGAGCCAAAGCAGGATGATCACCACAATGACATAAAGGGAAGCATAGATTTGTTTGAAATTGTGTGTGTCAAGGGGAGGGTGGAATCTGAAGCATGGCATTTTACTGTGCTGGCAGAGGGTTGCTTATTTTAGCACAGAAAATCAAAGCATTTTGGCATTGTGAATGCCTCTGTGGAAGCAAACTGCCTCCCAGAATCACGCCCACTCTGGCAGTAGGGGTGGGGAAAAGATACTGCTGGGCAGTAAGACAGGAAGTGAGGGAAAATGTATTAGCCAGCAAAGTGGGGAAGGGAAAAATTGTTCCCTCTTTTAGGAACATCTAGGCTTATGAAGAAAGAAGGAACAATTTTCCCCATCACAAGTGGGAAGTAACTAAGCCCACCCAAATCAGCCTACTTTTCCTTTTGTCTTTTCAGAGTCAAAAGCTAGGGCTGCCTGTCAGCTTTTTTAGTTGACTGGGAAAGTTTCCTGGGATAATAAGTACGCAGGTTTGTCTCCCCCCCTTGTGATTAAATAGTGAGTGAAGAAAAGTAAGGATGCTGCCCTTGTTCCTCATGAATATAAATTTGCCATGCTTGTGGCTCTGTGTTTAATGCCCTGAATGTGGCTCTGAGTTACCACTGCATCCCTTGCCTGAATGATGGAAAAATGGCAGAAGGAATGGTGAGGAACAGCACTACACACAGTGGGGCAAATGTCTGTTCCGTCTTGTCACACTGTTTGCAATATGCCAGCCGCAAAGCAAGACACAGGCGGTGGTGAAGAGGTGGAAAGTGGCCAGTGGTTGTTCTCAGAGGTGTGCTTGTGGCAATCCCATCTTGAACGTCCACCTTAGATGTTCCCTTGCTTCACACAGCAGGAAACAGAAATGCCTTCACCCACCCGCTAGCGTAATGGCAACACGAGGCTCTTTACAAGACCCAACTTTCACTTGAATCTGCATATAAAATCTACCACCTCAGATTCTGCTTATGTATCTCTCTGTTGTTGTTGTTGTTGTTGTTGTTGTTGTTGTTGTTTAAGCTTGGCTTAAAGAATACTCCATTTTTACATAAATTACAAGTATATGGCATTATTTATGGTACTCAACTTATTCATCACTGATCATACTCATGTTTTATATACTCTTTCTAAAAACAATGAATATTGAATAACACTTTTAAGTATTAAAGACATCAGCGTACCTTTCTCTCCTCACACACGCACTGTCTTCTTAAATAAGAGCAGGTCTCATTCAAGTAAACATGAAAATAAGCTCCTTGGCTTGTTTACTTGCAAGTAAGGCCCACTCAGCACAATTAGACTTACTACTGAATAAACACATATGGTTACATCTGGACTATTGCATTCTCTAGTTTAGTATTTCCAATAACAGGTGTTCCTAGATTCCCAGGACAGCTTTGGTTAGGACTCCTTCTCATGTTTTCTTTGACCGGTGGATTGGTTCTCTTCCAGGAAGCCGAGTGACTATATTGCAGCCATCTTATTGCTCAGCTCCCTTGTTGTCCGGCGTCAGCGTCACCCGCTCCACCATTTGGATTGGCTCTACTACCTGACAGCTGACGGCCGCCGCTTTCGCGATGCTTGTGACACTGTCCACCATTTCACAGCCAACGTGATCCAGCAGCGACGTCTGGCACTTAATCAACTGGGACATGATGCCTGGCTCAAATCAAAGCAGGGCAAAACTGTGGACTTCATTGATGTCCTTTTGCTGGCAAAGGTGCTTTGTACAAGAGTGGCAAGGACAGGGAGGGAGGGGGTGGCTTCTAGGTTTGGGCCAGAAATCCTCCATGGGAACATGCTTTGTTAGACTGTCACCAACTTGTGCAGAAAGCTTGGTAAATGCCATTGACTCTGCATAAGGCAGAACCTCTGGACTTCAGGGAAGGCTATGCCCGTGATAAGTGACATAGAGTAGGGGTCCTCAATCCCCGGTCCATGGCCCGGTGTCGGTCTGTGGCCTTTGAAGGACTAGGCCGTGGAGACAGGTCTCCTGCCCCCATACTTCCTCCCCACACACATGCACACTAGGCCGTGGAGACAGGTCTCCTGCCCCCCTTCCTCCCCACACACATGCACGGTTGCTCTGCTCACCCACGAGTGCGCCATGTCCATCCACACATGCGCAAGCGTGCCACACCCACCCACAAGCGCGGGGGGTGCCCTGCTCACCTGCGCTGGACCTGCCCCCCAACTGGTCCGCAGTTCAGAAAAGGTTGGGGACCACTGGTAGAGGACCCGGGGGTTACAGTGTAGTAAAAGCAGAAGCTGTGTGAGAATCTGGTCCATTAAAAAGGTGCTGATTGTCATTGATAGATGCCAGAGAGTTGTAGCAAATATCTGGCTTTGTGCTTGCAGGATGAAGATGGACAACATTTGGCTGATGAAGACATTGCTGCTGAGGCAGATACCTTCATGTTTGAGGGTAAGGCACCTGGTTTGGATGAGGGCAGTCACTGTCCCTCATGACTACTGACATGTCAACCATGGCCACAGAGAGATGAGCGATTGGATGAGACTGGCATCATGGAAGCTGGAGATAGATGCTGCTGCTCAATCTAGGCTATCATCAGTGCAAAGAAGGAGGAAGAAAACTGTGCTCCTCTGTCCAGTTTTTGCAATTCCTGGTATAGCCACATTCCTTTTAACCTGGGAATGTTTCAACATGGGCTTAGATTCTGTTTTGATACCTTCTGAGCAATCACAGAAATAACAGTTCTGATGTATTATTAAAAGACAAGTTCCCCATTCTTTAGTAACACAGATCCATGAGTGACCATAATTGATCCATAACTGATTTTCATGGAATTTGATGAGATTTTCTGATTTTCCTAAAAGTTGAAAATTATAAATTCCAACAGGAAAAAAAAGAGGCAACTATGTGTGTGCAAAAGGTAGATACAGTACATATTTCAGTTGCAGAATGTGATATTATAGGTGAAAATAAAATAAAAAGTAAAAGTAAAAAAAGACAAAAATATGGTGTCACCTTAAAAGCTAATTTTTAAATATATTATTTCATATAATTTCATATATGTATAATATATTTCACATACATACATACATACATACATACATACATACATACATACATACATACATACATACATACATAATTTATATAATATGAGCTTTCATGGACAAATCCACTTCATCAGACAGAATGTGATATTGTGGTTCATAAAAGTAGCACAAGATGGATAGAGTGACCTTTAAGTACTGTGGTTCCAGTGGGGATCGAGATGAGGAAGCAGGTATTATGCACACCTCTTCTATGTAACTCTTCTCTCTCTCTCTCTCTCTCTCTGTTTCTCTCCCACTCCAGGCCATGACACTACAGCTAGCGGCTTGTCCTGGGTGCTGTACAATCTAGCTCGACACCCCAAATATCAAGACCAGTGTCGGGAGGAGATCAGGGATCTGTTGCAGGGCCGGGATGTGGAGGAGATTGAATGGTGATGGACTGGGGCAATGAAGAGGGCTGGAAGTTGAAAATAATCCTAGTTATAAGGGATTAATATTTTTCCATGAGCATACACAGGTGTACACTGGACAATATAAGCTAAGAGAGAGCTTGGTAAAGTTACATAATTAATTAAGTTTGGGTTTTTTTCCCCAAAAAACTCCTTGAATCTTCCAACCATCTTCATGGAGTGCTGACTAGGAGATTCTGGGAGTTATTATCCAAACAAGTAATTTCTCCAAGCTCTCCTATACATATTTCAGTTTTACCTAATGAAAGATGAGCCTGTACGACCTGATCTGTTACCTGGTTCATGTCAGTTCTGCATTTATTTAATCATATGTTCATGAAGCACAACGCCTGCCTCACTGCATGAATATTTTTTAACAGCCTGGATCCTCCAATCAAATTAAGGCTGTTGCCCATTCCCCTTTCATCTTCACAACCACCTTGTATGGTAGATCTGCCTTAAGGCTCCGTTCTCCTGCCCTGCCCGCTGTTAGGGAGCAGGGCCCCCAGCGTGCTGACTTCCTGAGACCAACCACACTAATACCGCTGTGCCCTGCAGTCATGACAAACAGAAAGTCTGAGGTTGTTTCTCCTTTCTCTCCTCAGGGAAGACCTCTCCCGGATGCCCTTCACCACCATGTGTATTAAGGAGAGCTTGCGCCTCCACCCACCAGTCACAGTCATTTCTCGACGCTGCACTGAGGATATAAAGCTACCTGATGGGCGGGTTATCCCCAAAGGTATCAGTCCCTCCGGAAAGGACCAGGATGCATCCCATACAGTGTGATGTCATTTCCCCCTTCCCTGGTAGCTGAAGAGGCTGGTCCCTCTTTTTTATACCCTAAGAGCATCAAGCAGCAGCCTCAGGCAGAAGGTCCTTCTGCAATACTATGATGCTTTTCCATGCTTAAAGGTCCTTCTGCAATACTATGATGCTTTCCCACGCTTAGGATGTAAGTTTCTAGCTGTCCTCAGAAGTCTTAAGAAAGTTGAATTGTTTCTCTTTTTGTACTACTAATACTTTAATATATGTAATTACATCTCTTTGTAAACATTTTTCTGCACATTCTTTCACTCCAGGTTAATTTTATATCATCATATTGATAGCCATTCACATCTTATATTTCCTCCAATTAGCGCCGAGCTGTCTTTCACCCCTCTTTATCCTCACAACAAGCTTGAGAGGTAGGTCAGATGGAGAGGCTGGCCCCAAATCACTCAAGGAGTTTTATGGCTCACTGTCAGGTAGAGCACCTATCCAGTCAGATATCACCTCTCAAAGTCATGTTTGGGGGGAAAAATAAAGGAAAAAATATATTCTTAGTAAGCATGATTGTGGTTCTAAAAGTGATCACAAGACATTGTTTTAAAAAAAACTTGCATCAAGGTCCTGACTGAACATTTTTAGGAGACCTGTGGATGCTGGTCCTTTACCCACTCCTCTTTTTGATAAAATACCAAAAAGTATCAGACGTGACATCATTCCTGCAGTCTTTTCCTTGTCCTGCCACTCCATGTTATTGGCTGTCACTTGAAAGAGCAGAGAAATGCAAGCGTTCATTACTCTTCCATCCACAGGGAACATTTGTCTCATCAGTATCTTCGGGACCCATCACAATCCTGCGGTCTGGCCAGAACCTGAGGTATTGCTTTCTGTTCTTCATGATTTAAAGTGTTTTTCCACTCCTCTTGCGAGCACTGGAATCACAGCACTGTAGGAATTGTTATAGGCTCCTCTCTTCTCCTAAAGCAGTGTTGACACATAACTTGATGTGCTTTTTATTTTATTTTTAAATTCATATTGTGCTTTGTGTTCACCGAGAATCCCAAAGCAGCCAATAAGATGTCTATTTATACAAAATAGTTCAGGTATATCAAACACAATGAAAAGATAGGATGAGGAACAACAAGAACCCTTATACAGCCCCCCCAATAGTAGGGAAGAAGGGGAATTTTGAGAGGGAGAGAGAAACTGAATGTTTTTGGATGTTTTAAGATAAGAAATCTCTGTAAACATCTGTTGGATACTGAGCTGTGCAACTCAGGATGTGACTACATTGTAGGGAAAATAAAGTTTGATCTGCTGTGTATTTGCAGTCTATTAAATTGAGTTTACCTGCATGAATCGCTATAGCTATCCAGATGACAGTTTCCAAGACTCAGCAGGTCAAAGGCAGAGATGTGTCCTAAGGTGCTAACAAGGTGCTAACTGACAAATTCTGCCTCTCCCTTTTGGTTATTTAATTCTCCTGAGCACCCTAGCAATGGTGTGTTCCAGCACTGAATTAAAACCATTTTGTTTTTAAAATAAAGTGTATAGAGACCAGAGGCACTGAGTTTAGGGGAACTGGCACCACCACAAGTGCCCCTTTGTGTTGGAGTAGGCAATCATTTTGGGCAGAAAGTGGGGGGGAAAGCCATGTTAAACTGATCAGAACAAATAAAGCAACCTCTGCCAGCTGAAGAGAAAAAAAGACCATTCACCGCTTAAAAAACAATTCCACCATTGGTTTCTCCATGAGCTTTATGCTGTGTTTGAATTCAAATCTTTGTATGGCCAACCCAATGTAAACTACAGGGTAAATGGCCAGTGAAGTCAACCTCATCAGTGTACAACAGACAAATCTATGGAAATTTCTTAACTAGAGGCAATTCCTGTTGAAAAGTTAACGCTGATTAACTGTGAAACAGGATTTCAGCTGTTGACTCACAAGACAGCATTGAATACAATTGTTTCGTTGCTGTTTATTGGTTCATATTTTTTGCCAATCATTTTGTTTTGTGCCTTGTGTGTTGAATTTCAGAACAGCAAGATGTAAAATTTACAGTGTAAATGCAAGGTCTAGGTTATTGTTGGCTTATTTCTTGTAGTTTGGCTGGTTTCCTCTAGTCTGGAGTACTGTAACTATGAAGTTTGCCCCCCAAAATCTTCATCTGAGCAAGCGTTTATACGTAAAGATACCATGATACAACAAGCTACAACCATAGGTGAACAACAAATCACAAGCAGCTCATTGGGAGCTCAGTCAGAAACGTCTTGTTTTTCCTGTCTGCCTGGAACCACAGTAAGAAAAGAAGGTGCTGTGCACTGAGCAGTGAGTAAAAGATGGACTGAGAGATCTGTCTGACTTGGTGGATCACCAAGGGCAAATCTCTGCCCCTCCCCTGCAGTCTCAAAGAGAAGGTAAGAAAACGTCCCCTTGGGGCAAGATTCATGTGACATCTTGCCTTCACCTCAAATAAAAGAAGAATCAGCTTTATGGCTTTACAAGAACCTGAATTCTTGTTTCAGAAGTAGATTTCTTTTGATATGCAAATTCAAGGCCATGCGCCCATGCCCTGAATTGCTAGATCATTATTCCTTTCATCCCTTGCCTGCTGAGTGCTTTTGCCCAGAAGCATCTACACCGCCCCCTTTGTTGTGAGCAGTGTAGATGCGCCAGAGCCCATCAAGCTATGTGTCAATACCACTTTAGGACAAGAGAGGAATCTATAACAGCCCCTGCAGTGTTGGGACTTCGGTGCTCACCAGAGGAGTAGTTCAAACAGGGTTGCATGAGCTTGGAGGGAGAAGTGATATCCCATTTGGTATGATCCTCGCATTTATTAAGCTGCTTCTTGATCCCAGGAATTCAAACTGGAAGGAGCCTTGGCTTTCACAACCACGAGGGTGAATTTTAGTTCATTCCCAGTGATTACATGGGCTAAAGGTTCCCCTTGACATTTAGTCCACTTGTGTCTGACTCTAGAGCGTGGTGCTCATCCCCGTCTCCAAGCCGTAAAGCCGCCGTTTGTCCAAAGACAATTTCTGTGGTCACCTGGCCAGTGCAACTAGACATGGAATGTCATTACCTTCCCACTGAGGTGGTGCCTATTTATCTACTCGCATTTTTACATGCTTTCAAATGGCTAGGTTGGCGGGAGCTGGGACAAGTGACGGGAGCTTATTCCGTTGCATGGATTCAATCTTACGACTGCTGGTCTTCTGACCTTGCAGCACAGAGGCTTCTGTGGTCTAACCTGCAGCGCCGCCACGTCCCTTATTATTACATGGGCTAGGAATGGACTAAAGGAGAGCACACCAACCCACACTAAAAAAAGTAGAAGTCCCTGTCAAGGGATTTAAAAAGTGCAAGGTGGGGTGCCCTGGGAGCAAATCGGTCCGCTTGTTGTGTGGTTGCCAGGGGGGAAAAAAGAGCAAACCAATCCACCCCTGCAATGCACTAAACAACAGGACGACTGTGCCTGTCTGAACAAATCCACAGTGGGAAGTTTCTTTTTGTCTAGCTTCCATGGCATTTCACAAATGAAATACTTGTCATAGTACTTTCCTTTCACATACCTATCACGGTAATATTTTGCTGCTCGGTTCCTCTCCGCCTGGTACCGAGATATTGCAGCCTGCTGAAATTTTTGTAAATGCAAGGACCCGTGAAGTACCAAGCAACTGGCAACCTCATCTTTGCACTCTGGAGGGAAAAGCCTGATTCGCTGCTTCTCCCCAGATCCATGCAGCCAATCCTTGCCAACTGTTCTTATTCTTATAGGTCTATAATCCATACCGCTTTGATCCTGCGAACTTGAAGCAGCAGTCTCCCTTGGCCTTCGTGCCCTTCTCAGCAGGACCAAGGTACGCAAGAACTCATGCGCCTCCCCGACTCTGATAGAGGCCATTCTTAACTTCTTAGCCCTTCAGGATGGTGACCTATGTTGCTTTCCTTTTTAAAAAAAAAAACAAAACTGCAGCTATACACGCTGCATGCTGTTCCAGGGTTGTACTTCTGAAGAACATTTGTGCAGTTAAAAATTTATTTATTTACACTTAGTTTTCTTCCCTTTATATATTGCCTGCAGCTCCCATTGTTGTCCTTCCTAAATTTATTGTGTTTAAAAAAGGAGGTTGTATGAAGTTTGTCAGTATTATGATAAGGATAGTATATTCTATAGGCATCCTTCAGTCTTGAAAGACTATGGTAACGTGCTCTGTATGGAGAACTTGGAACAGCGTCTAGTGTGGCTGAGAAGACCAATTCGAGAGTGACAATCCCTTCCACACTGAAGACAAATCCAATCTGTCCCCTGTCCGGCTCCCTGCTTTTGCTGCTTTTGTGACTTCCTCTTTGCCTCGGCCTATACTATAAGGATAGTAATGCCACCCAAATCTAATATGACATTTTCAACTATTAGGGCAAACAAATAAAAAACATTTGTGCCTGAAAGTGTCATCACAACACAGCAGCAACTATGCGCCACAGTGAAAACAGGTTCTTGAAGCTAGTTAAAAATTCTGCTAACTATACCAAAAAAATAAAAAATGTTGAACTTCAAGGAAGTCAGGCTATCCCAATTATTCATCACAGAGAAGTTGAATACTGCACACTAAACTTCAAGCAGGCAGCTGCAAAGTATGAGTTCTCAGCTTGAAAGATGGGATTTATTTTACAAATGGTTAGAGTCACTAGACAATGCTTGAATAACATAGAGCAAAATGTAAACTAAAATCTGGAAGGCAGAAAATAATAGAAAGACAAAATTTGAATTTTGATATTGCAATATGAATAGAATAGATGCTAGCATATTTTTGTTTCCTCCTCCCCCCCAACCCCAACCCTTTTCCCCCTCTTACCTTCTGTATCCCACACCCTAACCCAAGTTATCAAAACAATATTAAAAAAAACAGATGTAGGTTTCAACATGTTCAATAATATACATAAATTGTAAACAATTTAATTTCTGAATTTTATAAACTGAGAGCATCTTTCTCAATTAAACTTTGTAATTGTTCTTTTAAACAACGGTGTCTAGGGAAGAATTTCTGGATGCCATCCTGCGGTATTTTTTTCCTAGCCATTGGTCCAGCTTGTATGACATGGTAGAAATCCGACATTCAGAATTGTTTTAATTTCAGCTCAAATAAGACATAGATTCTGGTAGGATCAACTCAATTGTTGTATGAAAACTAAGTCACCTGTAAAAGCTGCACAAGAGCTAGTTTTTCTATGTATTTCTATTGTATGCATCTATTTGTGTGTGCATGCATCTGTGTGTATGTGTGCGTGCTTTGGTTTTTAAAGGGAATTGGTACGTCACCAAAGTTTTCCATACCGTACCTCAGAGACGTTATGTGAAAATTGCAAACCCTTGACAAGGCCAAAACGTCTCACTTTTGCATTATTTGCGATCGCAAAAACGGCATCGTTGCTCGGATTCGTCGCTCTACGGAGTGACCATTGCGCAAGGCACCACTGTAGAAGTTTGTCAGTATTATGATAAGGATAGTAATGCCACACAAATCTAATATGGCATTTTTAACTATTAGGGCAAACAAATAAAAAACATTTGTGTCTGAAAGTGTCATCACAACACAGCAGCAACCTATGCTCCACAGTGAAAACAGCTTCTTGAAGCTAGTTAAAAATTCTGCTAACTATACCAAAAAAATAAAAAATGTTGAACTTCAAGGAAGTCAGGCTATCCCAATTATTCATCACAGAGAAGTTGAATACTGCACACTAAACTTCAAGCAGGCAGCTGCAAAGTATGAGTTCTCAGCTTGAAAGATGGGATTTATTTTACAAATGGTTAGAGTCACTAGACAATGCTTGAATAACATAGAGCAAAATGTAAACTAAAATCTGGAAGGCAGAAAATAATAGAAAGACAAAATTTGAATTTTGATATTGCAATATGAATAGAATAGATGCTAGCATATTTTGTTTCTTCTTGCCTTCACAACCCCAACCCCTTTTTCCCCTCATACCCCATCTTACCTTCTGTACCCCATACCTTAACCCAAGTTATTAAAACAATTCAAAAAAAATAAGAAAACATGTTATTGCAATATGAATAGAATAGATGCTAGCATATTTTATTTCTTCTCGCCCTCACAACCCCAACCCTTTTTTCCCTCATACCCCCTCTTACCTTCTGTACCACATACCTTAACCCACGTTATTAAAACAATTTTAAAAATTAAAAAAAACATGTACACACACACACACAATAATGACAAGCTCATATCATTATCCAGCTGTGGGTACTCCTGAAAAGCAATCTTGTACGACAGAGCCTTATGCTGAGAATCATGTGGCCTAGCCCTATAGGACATGTGGTTTGGCAAGCCCCCACACTGCAAAAAGAAAATTGAACACAAAATGGAGAACTCTATTCTCAGCAGCCTCTAGGGGACACCGTTTTCTGTTTTCATGATATTTCAGGCATCCCCCCTCCATGTGCTTGAAGGCATAAAATAGCCTCCCTACAGTGTGTAGTCACACAAGTTCACTGGTTGCCCACACGTACTCCAGATTCAGAGCTAGAAGATGCGAGATGGCCTTCCTTTAGGACTCATCTTCCCTTGAGACTAATAGTCAGCCTTGTCTGTTCCTCCTCCAAAGCTTCTCTTCTTAGTAAAACATCAGGCCAACCTTATCTCTTCTTCATGCTGAGGTGTTGGGAAGGAATGTTTTGCCTCACTAAAACTGGCCCCTCTCTCCCCCTTGCAGGAACTGCATTGGGCAGAACTTCGCCATGTCAGAGCTGAAGGTGACCCTAGCCCTGACGTTGCTGCGATTTGTTGTACGGCTAGATGAGAGCCAGCCGGTGCGGCGTAAACCAGAACTAATCCTGCGGGCAGAGAATGGGTTGCAACTGCAGGTGGAGCCACTGCGTGCCACGCCTTGATGAGGAGCCACATGGTCACAAACACCTGTGACTTGAAATTTCTGATCATTCCAATCATTTCTGGAATGTGCAGAGAGATGTGGTGGTCAGAAAAGCTCTCTGGGTCAAGTGAATAGGAGAAAAGGGCTATATTGCATCCGCATCAACTGTTCTTCCACCATGATGTCTTCTTTGCCATTCTGTCTGGGTATTATGAAACACAAAAAGAGATATTGTGAGATTAAAGCGTGACATACTTTGACCATCATATGTGGTTTGACATCGTTTTATGTCGTGATTGTACTCGCTATGTAGTGGTAGCCTGAGGTCTCCAGTCTAACTGTGAGCCTCTGTTTTCTGTCTTGAAAAGGAACACTTAAGGGAAATAGACCAAAACATGTTTTTGCCTCATCTCCCCCTCCACCCAGTGATTCTTCCAAGTTAAACATTTGACTATATAAAAAGAATATTAATGATCCCAAAGATTTTTCTTAAATATGGCTGTCTTGGCATGATGACAAGGTTCCCCTTAAAAGACTTTGGCTCTATCAGAAGATCAAGATGCCAAAGGGGTAGCTCACAATTTTTATATCATGTGCAAATTCTAAAGATAATTCTTGTCTGTGAAAATAAAAACAGGCTGCTTTCTTAGGAGCTACAGTAATTTGGGGGGTTTCCGTATGACCCGAGGTATAAGCAAAATGCATGCAATGGACTCTGTAGCCAACAGGGTAACTGACTGTAATACGTTTTACAATATTGTGCATTGTACTAAATGGACAAAAACCCAAGTTCACAAAATGCAGACTTCTTCTGACAAATTTCATAGTCTTCTGATGAGGTTGGATTTTTCTGGAAGGCCAGTCAGGTTTTATACTGCTAATAATGATTTATTTCCCTAGCATCATAAGGATTTATTTCTCTAACTACAATTAGATTTCTAGCATTGGATTTTGCTGTAGGTTTTTTTACACCACGAGTAAAAAGGGGGTACTTGGAACAGGTACAGATAGATATTTCATTGTGACATGATGTGGCATGCTGATCTCATATGAGAAGATGTCTAAGAAAAAAATTAACTAATAATATGGGCTTTCCCCTTCACGGCTTGCTGCCTTGTTGTGGCAAAGGGGCTTGAGTAATTCATAGAAGCTATGGGCTATGCTGTGCAGGGACGGACAGGTCATTGTGGAGAGTTCTGACTAAACACAATCCAGCTGGAGTAGGAACTGGCAAGCCACTCCAATATGAAAACCAAGAACGCCCCATGATCAGAAACAAAAGGCTAAAAGATATGACGCTGGAAGATGGGACCCTCAGGTCGGAAGG